TATTGATAATGAATAATTGTTTTTTAATAAAAGCATTGTAGACACATAATTCTAAATTAAAGAAATGCATATGTATTATTTTTTGTTGTAGCTACTAAATTATTATTATTATTTTATTTAATAAGAGTAAAATAGAGTACTAATTATGCCAACTTTGATTGGGATGAGGTTCGAACCTAAGACCTTTCTTATTGAAATCAATGAGTAAGTTAACAGTGAACTAACAGAAATTAACGGAAAAGATAATATTTAACGGAAAAGTTAACGGATAATTATGTTCATTAAGGATAAATTAGGAAATCTCAAGGAAAAATTAAAATTCTAATCAATCTGAGCAATTCATTTGATTAAAAAATTTGACCGCCATTTTTTCTACCCGTTATAGGCCTAACTCTCTTGGGCTCTTATTAGTATAGTAGATAGTAGATATATATATATATATATATATATATATATATATATATATATATATATATATATATATATATATATGATGCATAGAAAATGGTGCATGTGATGACCGAAATAGTCCCTTGACTATAGCAAAATTACCAATTGGTCCCGAGTTAACGGATTTCTAATAGAAAAACAAACGGAGGACCAAATTGGTTATGATTTTTAAAGTTGAGGGACTTAATTGGTCAAACAAAATAGTCAAGGACCAAATCGTAATTTCATTATAGTCAATGGACCATTTCAGTAATTAACTCTAATATGTTTATATCTACATCTACTCTACAAATTTAATAAAAGCTAATAAAGTTAGGTCCCTAACCGGAACTAAAAAATATTGGTGTAATTATTTGTTAAAATAAATGGTTCATATTATTTTGATTTTAGTATTTTTTTATGATTTCCCTTCTTTACCCTCTATTATATTATTTTCTTCTCCCGTAAATAACCTTGCATTTCGTTAGTATAAACTTGAGTAACGAAATATTCTGCTAACTATTTATTATTCTTAACTTACTCATTAATTTAAATAAGAAAGGTCTTAGGTTCGAACCACATCCCAATCAGAGTTGGCATAATTGTTAAACATATACTACGAATATATTTTTTTTGAATCTATGGTCATAATTTAGCCAACAGGCAATTATGTATCGGAATGTAGTTTAGTAGTTTTATTAGTGATGATAGAAATAAATCAATTTATTTGTAAATAATTTCCAATTCTATCATTAAGTTTAATTTTATGATGTAAACTTTAGATCATATTTCTTAATTTGTCCACAGGGATTAAGAAAAGGCACATGATTTCTTAAGTTTTATCATAATGGTTGTAATGAATCTTATTGAATAAAACTTTAGCCTATAAGCAAGTTTTATTTCACTTGATTCTTCAACTCATTTGATAACTGTTTCATCATAAATAAAATTTTTTAGTTGGATCTAATTGAGTAAATCTTTAACCCACAAGCAAGTTTTATGTCTCTAGATTCTTCTGACTATTCAGTAATTGTGAAAAATATTATCATAAGGGTTTCTTAATTGGATTTAATAGAATTAAAACTTTAGCCCACATGCAAGTTTTATGTCAATAAATCCCTCAACCCATTAGATAATAATTTTATCACAATTTCTTAGAATTTATAAATTTAGCTCAATTATAATTTTAAGTTTCATGGTTTGCATTGTCAAAACATGTTTTCAGTCACTTTCCAAAATTTAGCTACTTTAATTAATTGATTCACGAATCTTGCTCGGTTCTTCAGACTAACTGTAGTAACGTGATTTGACATACACCTTTTGGATTCCATTAATTTAAAAAATGTATCTTTTGAGCCAAATTCTATCTTGGTTTTGGAAGGTGTATTTTGTTTTTTAGTATGTCCAACTATGGTGGGGAAACATATCTTCATTATTTAGTTGGACTATAATTGGAACAAAAAATTGATTATCTAGTATGTCTAACTAATGATGGAGAATTATGTCTTCATTTGTTAGTTGGTCAAATCAATTATGAGTATGTATATTATTAAGTTCACTTTATTAATTTCGCTGAAGAATATCTTAATCAGTGGGAGTGATCATTTAGAAAAAGATCATTAAGATACTCCACTAAAGTTTATGGATTTAATTGGCTTCATACATTTCAAATTGGATTGTATGTTAAACAATAAGTCCATAAGATTCCACAAGTATTAATTTTGTATTTGTTCATATAAACTCATAAGTTCAAATTATTGAACATTTGGTTGTGCAACATATTTATGAAAATGTTGTAACAATATTAAGGAATTTATTAGAACAAAAGCATTTAACTTGTGGTGCACTGTAATTTAATAAATTCTTCAGTGATTATTAGAGTCTTTAGTTTCTTCAAAATTGATCCTGGGCCATTTTGGTTTGTAAGGCTTAAAACAATTTTGTGAGACATATAAGTAAGACTCATTATGTTCAGTTCATTTAAAATGGACATTGAAGTTATTTGGGAAGTTATGGTGTATGATTAAGATTCCAAATTTATGGACTTAGACGTTTGGTTTATTGTCTAAGTTATTGGAATGCTTCTGTGACTTGACTATCTTTTGGCTATTTTTTGATGAGTGGGAGTGACTGACGTGTCAACTCCAAGCTCTTAGCTGTTAGAGATAGTACTTAAAGTTAACTAATAAAGAAGTCATAGAATATAGTTAGCATTATGCTAACATTAAGAGATCTCTACTTAATGCATGCTTATAAAATTTTAGAGATCATACAGTGTACTCTTTTGTACAATTTGGATGTGTTTTCTCTTTCAGTTATGCACATAATGTATTTTGAGAAACATCCCTTAAGGTACCAAGAATAAACATAGGGTTTGTTCATAAAGGACCTAAGTTGGAGAATTGAAATGCATGTGACCATAATGGACACTACTCTGATTAAATAGAGGACATGTCACTATGATTCGTGTGTTTTGTTCTTTGATGAGGGTTGTGCTAGTACTTGCACCAAGTGGGAGAATGTAAGATTTTTCCTAATAATATATATTATATATTATATATTAGGCCTTAATTAAGTGGTGCAAGTTGACTAGACTTATTAAGTGGTCTGGTTAGACTGAATAACTAGAAGTTGTTAGTCAACCAGACTCTGTGCCTAATATAATCCTGGATTGATGGGATACAAGATGATTGATGTTATCACATTCAGTTATGGTACTCATACTGCTCAGTAGACACCAATACACCATCTAGGGTTCTGAGTTAGGTATGAGACAAATAATGGCTAACGGTCTACTGTTAAGAGGCAACATAACAGGAACGTCAACTGTGGCTGGAGATCAACATAGCTACGCTTCCGCTCTTATATGAGGGCAGATCTCTCGTATATTATTGTTCAGTATTAGTTAGATTATTTAGATCTAACATTTGTAAATAATTTCCAATTCTATCATTTGCCAAGCACCTTGTGCTCAGATGACACCCGGTGTAACACCCCACTTTTCTAACTCTTAATTACAACTCTAAACAACCAATAACATCACTAAGCAGCGGAAAAACTAAAAGATAATTAGTGCGAGTGTCACCGTCACAACCACCATTCCGTGGTGATTGCACAGGCTAAAGGGGTAAAACTAGAAATAAGATAAAATCTGGCATCCAAATATAAATACTGGAAACATAAGGGGGAAAAACGTCACCCCAAAAGTCTACATCATCCTCAAAAACATAAAGTCAATAAGTCTAAAATCCATAACATAATCATCGATAAAACTAGAGTTTAGATATCTCTAACTACGAGACTAATCTAACTCGACTTCTTCTCATTGTTGGGCCCACCTGAAAGGGGTTTTGCAAGCAACACGTAGACAAATAGGAAAACACCCGTTAGCACGAAGCTAAGTATAACCACACTCAACCTTGTAAAGCATTCTAGCATATACTTTGAAAACAAAGATTTCTTTATAAGCAATAAACTCATCTCAAATCATCTTTAGATCTAACACATACTTTCTAGATGCTTACACCCTATTATATCATCTGGCATGTTCATATATATATATATATATATATATATATATATATATATATATATATATATATATATATATATATATATATATATATATATATATATATATGAGTTAATACCATCTGAGGTCCTTCGAGTATAGTGGTTTTGCCACGTTTAGTCCTAAACTTTCAAATTGACCATTTGTGGTCCTTCGACTTTCAAATTTAACCATCCGTGGTCCAAGTTAACCACCTATGGTCCTTCAAGTTTCGAAATTTAACCAGTCGTGGTCCTCTTAAAAGGACCATGGTTGGTTAAAATTTAATAGTTGAAGGACCATGGGTGGTTAACTTGGACCACGGATGGTTAAATTTGAAAGTCGAAGGACCACATATGGCCAATTTGAAAGTTTAGGACTGAACGTGGCAAAACCACTATACTCGGAGGACCTCGGATGGTATTAACTCATATATATATATATATATATATAAGACTGTTCACTTAAATTCATCAGCATATAAACTTCTCAAATATCTTAACAAGCAAATCATGCTTACAGATAGGATCATGCTAATAAACCATATAACAGGTATTCTCATACTTTCATATTCTCATCTCATAATTCGATAAACAAGACTTCTAATACAACAAAACGATTATAAATCGACATTCTCATTATGTACTCTCATGCGATACTTTACTCAAACGAAAACTTGTGCAAGTATATACTCATACTCATATGCAATCTCGTGCAATGCTTTAATCATATGCAATCTCGTGCAATACTATAATCATACTCATATGCAATCTCGTGCAACTATATACTCATACTCATATGCAATCTCGTGCAACTATATATTCATACTCATATGCAATCTCGTGCAACTATATACTCATACTCATATGCAATCTCGTGCAATAATATACGCATACTCATATGCAATCTCGTGCAACTATATACTCATACTCATATGCAATCTCGTGCAATAATATATACATACTCGTATGCAATCTCGTGCAATACTATAAACATACTAATATGTAATCTCATGCCATACTATAATCATACTCTTATGCAATCTCGTGCAACAATATACTCATGCTCTTATGTAATTTCATGCAATACTATAAACATACTCATATGCAATCTCGTGCAACAATATACTCATGCTCTTATGCAATCTCATGCAATACTATAAACATACTCATACACTCTTTATAAAATAGAGTACTTTCTGTGGAGGTCTCATTCTTACTTTCTCGAGTCTCTCTCGACTCTCTTTCTTTCTCTTGAGTCTCTTTTGACTCTCTCTCTTTCTCTTGAGTCTCTTTTGACTCTATATCTTGAGTCTCTATTGACTCTCTTCTTTCTCTATACTCGTAGACGGCTTAGGGTTTCACCGAAGCGTGAATTACCCCATCGAGAACGGCATAAATCCGACCCAATATCTCCTACCGTCTACGGAACCAATCTCGTGGTTCAAACTATGTGGAATCAGGTATCGAACTATTAGTGTGCACACCCCCTAACCAGGATTCCAAGCCTGGCGGAAAGTTTCCAACCTCGTAACGTAGGAATACGCCGCGTTACATATACTGGGACCGCAATGTCCATAAATATCTCCCGAGAGGACATAGTCCAAACGGTATCCTCCAAAACCTCACCGATATAGATAATAAATAAATATATCTCTCATTCATCAGTCTCATGCATGCAACAACTCTACTACTTCTCAATGCATCAAAGAATGATATACCACATGCTTATGGTTTTTGAAAGTATTCTTGGGCTCACGCTGGCCCCTTATGCATTTTTGAAATATGACACATGTGAGATGTCAAAATGCTCTATAACATGCTTCTAAATCATGTATAAAATATCATGAAGTATTCAAAATATAAAGTCACGCTCGATTTGCAAATAGGCAACTTCTATACATTTCACTTCAACAAATATACTTCTATTCTCTTGGATCAAATAATACAATTTAATCATGCTATAATAGTGAATCACATTCTCAAATTATCATGCTTCTATACTTAATAAAAACATCAAACAGATCACAGAGATAATAATTCCTCATATACAGTGCATAGCAAAATACATACTTTATGTAGTATATCTTAACAATTTCCTTCATAACATACTCATTTTAGATCCAAATTCAACGAAATCAAAGCCAAAACGTGTGTCGAGACGGTCCCAAAGAGCCGAGCTACAAGGGCCCGTAACACTCGGCTCGAAACGACACGTAGCTGAGCCACAAAGGCCCGGCAACTGCACAGATTCTTCTCAGAATCAAAGTCAGGGACCTGGGGCGGGACTTCTCATGGTCCACCCCTTGTACCCCGTTACTTCACCGGGACTAGGCGGCGGCCCTCCTCTAGGGCTGTGCCCTTGTCCCGTGTAAGCACGGCTCTAGCCGGCGGCCCTCCTGATGGGCCGCGGCTAAGGCCGTTAATCTGATCTGGTGCACACTGTGTTGTGCACCAGAAGGTTTTTCATATGCAAAATCCAATCCAAACAAGTCCAAAACAATCTCAACAACTTACAAACAAATACTAAATCACTTCTAAGCATGAACACATCAAAAATTCATAGTTTCTACTCATTTCTACTTAATATAAAGGCTTCACAAAACCAAAATCAAAGAGGGAGTCCATGGGATTATACCTCTTGTTGTCTCTTCTTCTTGTATGGATTCCCCCTCTTCCCAAGCTAACTACACCCTCCTTCACCTCCTAAATACCCCAAACAAACCATACATCAACATACTAACAAGTCTCAGAGAAGAAAGAAGCTTAAGGAAATGGAAGACTAGGATTGAATGAAGAATGATGAAGAAACTTACTGTGTTGTCTTCTTGAATTGCAAAGCTGATAAATGGGAAGCAAGGAGTGGAATCAAAGAGGCAAATGGTTGATAAGGGTTCTATTTATAGGAGCACAAAACCCTAGGTTGATCCCATATGATTGGTTGATGACAAAAATGTAATTTCATATGGCTAGAGATTGAATCAGGCAAAGGTTTTGGATGTCTAGTGGTCCACCATGCTCCATGGAACAAGGGCTAAAAATGCTAACTTTAAATACTTTGGGGTTGAAAATGAATTTTCTCAAAAAGCCATTTGGATGAACACTTGTTTAAAATCTTTTTGAATTCTCCCGGTCTCACTCAGATAAATTTCTCGATTTAAATCTTGGTACGCGAAGTACCCGAAAGCTTAGGAATTTTCGAATAGAATCAAATTTTGATGTCGAATTAATTTAAAATGTGCCGAAAATATTTTATTCAAACACCAATTGATCGCAAAAATTTTTAATGGAGTGAAAAAAACTATTTTGGAATTTTTTAATACCTGATTTATAAAATGAAATTTTGGGTTGTTACACCCGGGTTGGACTCCCATATGGGAGGTTGTGAGTTCGAGCCTCCGTGGAGGCGTTATTGGCTCTTTGTGCCATTGTAATAGAGTCAGTAGCATTCAAAAAATATACTACGAATATATATGTTAAAATATATTTAAAAAAATACAATATAAAATTTAACATAAACTTTGGTCAAATAATTAGCCCGGCGACTAAATACATATCATTCAAAGTTGAGACTCAATATTTCAATTATGTTTTTGCATTATTGGAATGATTTAAGTCATTATGGTATTAATATTTTTTTTGTATGTATTTATATAATGGTATAATTGTACATTAATTTACAAATATCGTACTATTATTTTTTTTATCAGAAATAAAATTGTTCTTACATCATTGTCAGACCTGCACGACCTAACTAGTTACAAAGTTCTTGATCAGAAATACAACTGTTGGAAAAAATTGCTTGTAATATGTAATACATTTGAAATACAACAAAATACAGAAAACAACAGGGAACAAAAACTGGATCATTTGATATCCTCAGGCGTGTAATCACTTTCCTATATGCTTTAAATCTCCCTCTATAAAAGCAACAAGGTTCAAGATTTAATCTTATGGGATACAAGAAGATGAATGAAATTCTCAAGTTGCTTTGTTTAGGAATTTCCTGTTGAGATGCAGAACTGTGAAATATCCCAGTGTACTGCAATTTTGCTTTTTGTATATGTCTTTTTCAGATGATTCTCCAAATATTTATAGATGCAAATAAACCAGTTTGGAGAAGTTACCTGGAAGTTAATTATTTGAATTTAAAACTTAACTTCCATAAAATATATCTTAAATGATATATTTATCATAGGAGAATATTAATTACATAAATCATGTTCAACATGAATATATATGTAATTATGAACCTTTGTAAGGTTGTGAACCGCATGCAAATAACTGTGCAAATTAATATATATATATATATATATATATATATATATTAATTTTCTAGCACACTTTTGCATATAAGTTTGGGAAAATTGGAAGCTCACATGCTGTGTAATCATTTTTCAAATGAAACAAACAATTCCCCTATATTGGGTAATAAACTCCAATGTTGGGGAATAAACCCCAATGTTGGGGAATAGACAAAGTCATCCAACAAACTCGTTCTCCAATTAACTTTCTACCAAACTAAAATAATATTTATAACTCCACAACTCCAAATATTATTTAAGCTTTCATGGTAGTCCATCTGAACCATTAATCTCCATTACTATATAAATTTCCAACAACAACTACACCTTGACTCTAAACGGTAGGACCATTGCCCAAAGAATTGACAATGTTAACATCTCACTGGCTCCAATTGAACAAGTTTACACATCATTCTCCATAATTTTATCAATGCATAAAAAACTTCTAAAGAAATTTGTAAGTTAATTTTTACTATATCATTATAACAATATTTATTGTAACTATATATTTCGAATTATTTATTATCATCAATCCTCTATTAACAACAATTGTAGCAATTATCATTGACAGACTCCCAAAATAAATTGTCTCAACAACGAATGGAAATAAAAAATCAATGACTTCATTGTTGTGGATAAAAAGTAAAATTTTATTACTCTTATTAAATCAAATAAATTAGTAGCTACAACAAAAAATAATACATATGCATTTGATTGAGAAAGTAGAACAAATACTATATTGTAATAGAGTCAGTACTATTCAAAAAATACATATGCATTTATTTAATTTAGATTTACATGTCTATGATGCCTTTATTCAATTTTTTTGTATTCATTATCAAAAAATTAAAAAAGAGATATAATTTCATTAGTGATATTATCTTTATGTTCTACAATTCAAAGATTTGTTACTTTCAAATTCATTAGTTAATTATATTCACTATATTGTCCATTGTTTTCTTTTTACACCATCTTGTAATTAAGTATCAAAGTTATAATACAAAATATGTTATATATTTATTTACCAAGTATTTTATTCATACGATGGAAAAAAAAATACAGTTTGAAGTCAATCAAATTAACTACTTGGGGAGGATTTGTTGACAAAGAGGGTAGTCAAATAATCTAAGAAATTGAAGCAAGAAACTAGCTCGTAATATCTCTAAATTACATTACAGTTGTTCACTTTAAAGGCAAATCTTTTTTTTTTTTTATTAAGATGATTTAAAATGTATTAATTTTTATTATATTAGCTAATTTTATTCTATAAATAAACTAAGAATTTCTCTATCCACAAGAACTCATTTAACAATAATGGTTGAACCAAAAGTACATCGAGTAGAACACCTAAAAGACTGGTATGCTTATATGCTGATAATAGTATGTAAATGGTAATTAAATCATTATCTTACGTAACTACATTTAAAACTCATAAGAGGAAGAAGATAAAGGGGAACCATGGGCTCCCCTTTATAAATGATGTGAGATCATTTTTTATTTCACATAAAAAATATTTAGAAAAATGAGCTCTTGAGCTCTTGCTGATCAATGTGAGCAAGTATTGAAAAGTAAAAAAGGCTCTTATTTAAGAAGTCTTAGCTTGATGAATTCTTATTTTAGTTTTTTTTTTTTTTTTCATTTATTAGGGGGGTTTGGAAAAGATTAACCCAAAATGTATATGTGTTGTTTTAGGTTTTGGTAGTTTGGAGCAAATTACTGAGTTATTAAATAATATTTTTTGTGTTTTGATTAAAGACAAAATGTTAAAATGGTGAATTTGATACGATTTTGGTGAATTTGTCAATAATCAAACAAGGTCATTATCTAATAACAATATTATGCCATTTAACAAATTAATTGTATTGATATTAAAGTTCGTTTGAAAAATACGAAACGAAAATGATTTCTGGAAAATAAGTTATTTTTTAGAAAACTTTTTTTTTTTTATAAATGTTTGGCTACATAGCAGAAAATTGTCTATAAAAAAATTTATATTATTATTATGTAATAATGTAATAATAAAATAAATTACAATAATAATATTATTAATATAATAATAATAATAATAATAATAATAATAATAATAATAATAATAATAATAATAATAAAAACAAAACTATATACAAAATAAAATTTAAATTTAAAAACGAAAAGGCAAAGCGGAGCCCGTGGCCCCCCTTTGTAAATGACGTGGGATCATTTTGATCCCACATTGAAAATGTTTGGAAAATGTCTTTGTGTATTTGAAAAATTATCTTTGTGTATTTGAGTCATTTTTCAGAAAATGTCTTTGTGTATTTCGTTCTTTTTTCCATATATATTAATTGTCATAAATATATATTAAAAAAAAACAGTTTTACTGTTTTGTTTATTATATAACAACTTTTATTTTAAATTCCATGCAACATAAGTTTTAGCTGTATTCAGTGATGGTGGGCGGCGGTGGGTGATTGGCTGCTCCACTGCTGCAAACAGAAAAATGGGACTTCCTCTACAAAACAGGGGAAGTCATTTTCCAAAAAAATTCCCCTCTCAAGCCAAACAATGAACACCCAGAAAATGATTTATGAAATCATTTTTCGAGTTTCCAAACGCACCTTTAGTATAATTTACTAATAATTATTATGATAATTAAACCAATAATCTATTGATACTTATGATTAAAAACAAATTCCTTCTTTTATTCTTGCTCAAACATTTTTTCCCAAACAATAGAAAAGGAAAAATGAAAAAAGAAATGGAATTAACTTAATAATAATATTAATAATAATAATAATAATAATAATAATAATAATAATAATAATAATAATAATAATAATAATAAAATAAATAAATAAATAATCTACATCTATAATTAAAAACAAAATCCTATTTACTTAATTTTCCATCCAAACAATACTAAATTGTAAAAGTAAATTAAAAAAGGAACGTAAACTAAAAAATGAATATAAATATGTCACATTAATATTCTACATCATCAATTAAAAATGGAACGAAAATTATGTAATTGGAAAATGAAATGAATATTATTAATTAACTGAAAATTAAAATGAAAAAAAGAAATGGAAATTAGGAATGGACATTTGCCTAATTTATTAAAAAAAAAAATACTAAACAGTGATAAATAAAATCTCTAAAGTTACAGCACCGCATGCGTACATCTACACATTAGCTATTAATTTGACCAATTATTTGCTCAAATTCATGCAATGATAACATCAAAACACATAAATGATTCAAATCTCATCTTCAATTGCACTATATAATATTTGATGTTCTAATTTAAATAATTATATATCAATCCAAATATTTTTAATATATTACAACAAATCCATTCCGTGCACCGCACGGGGGTAAATACTAGTTATTAAAAATGCCAATGTAGGGCAATAGAACATCGTGACACACTTGATGTATCGAAAAGATGTGACTACAACAATGCTACAATCAACATTGCAAATCCAAAAAATGAAGAAATTTTAAAAATAGTTATCGTTACAACATTCATTGATCTTGTATGTAAAATACTTATTGTGCATCCTTTAAATATATTAGAACTAATATAGTTCATTTCATTTTCTAGACTCAACCTGTTTGGATTAAAAGCAAAATCAACATCAACCTTGACAATAAAACACTTAGTATTCGGACACCTCTACAGTCGTTGTTGTTACTATCAAGTAAATAAATTATGGAACTAGAACACGAGGTACTGCTCATGAACTTTTTACAAATATAATAAATATTAATATTTTGTTCAATACTTTCACATGAGATTCTACGACACATATCTCACAACACATGAAACATGTAGGAAAAAACTAGCATTGCCAAATATCAATAAGCGCTTGCAAAATAAAGAGTTCATAATACAAATAAGATCCCCGTCATATACACAATAGGACAAATCTAAAACTTTATACACCATAATCTCATTGAATGCCAATGTCCTCTATGCTACCACCAATAACTCAATTGCACATGACACACTACCAATAAAAAAGAAGATGACAAGTACTGAAGATGAAGACAATGACAATACTACTAAAAAATTAAGAAGATTTAGAGAAATTCAAATCAAAAGTTGTATTTATTTACACCATCATTTTTAGACTAAGTATTTACTATTTAGACTAGCGTTATTACAAAGTTGCAAACATTTATTTCAGTGACAATTATAATCAATCTCTCATATATTATCTTGCATTCATATACTTTGAATTACTAATTTAAATAAACAAATTCAACATTCAATTACCTATGCATGAACACCTCCTATATAATCGATCTTACATTGATATACTTTTAAATACTTATTTTAAAATAATCATTGGGCATTATCTCATTCACGCAATACGTGTGAAAAAGTAGTTTATATACATAATGTAATTTCCGTCAAAACTAACGAAATAATTATAACCATAGTTATATTTTAGGCAAATTATGTCGTGCAACCGTGTGCACCATGCATGGTGCACACGGAATTGGATCCATAATTTCTATACTATAGATTCATAATTTCTATACTATAGATTCATAATTTTTATACTATAAATTCATAATTATTGAACTCTATATTCACAATTACAAAACTCTATGTTCATAATTTTCAATGTTCATATTCCGAATTATTGAACTCTGTATTCACAAATCACTGAACTATATGTTCATAATTTGATAACTATACAGTTTAAAAATTATGAATCTATAGTATAAAAATTATGAATCTACAGTTTAGAAATTATAAATCTACAGTATAGAAATAATGAATTTATAGTATATAAATTATGAATCTATAGTATAGAAATTATGGATCCAATTCCGTGTGCACCTTGCATGGTACACACGATTGCACAACACAACACTCCAGAAACGCAAATTTTGCTGTGCAACCGTGTGCACCATGTAGTTGCAAAAACGATGTCGTTTTGACTAAAAACGCGCGTCCCACTTTTTTCTTTTAAAAAAAATCAGGTTCAATTCCCGGCAATAGCATTTTTTGTGCATAATTTGAATTATATATCCACAAATTCATAACTATATACCCACAGTGAATGAATAACACAAAATTCGGAATGAATGAACTAAATATCCACAATGAATGAACTAAATATCCATAATGAATGAACTAAATATCCATAAATTCATAACTATATATCCACAAATTCATAACTATATATCCACAATAATGTTGTTGAGGAGAATCAAAACTGTTTTTTTTTTTTTAAAATGGGACGCGCGTTTTTAATCAAAACAGTGTCGTTTTGCAACCGTATGCGGTTGCACAGCATAACTATTGTTAAAGAAAGCATGCCTTAATAACTTGGACGAACTAGGATGAGCCTGTCCCAAATTAGAAGCTCAGACACACAACCTAGGCAAATTATATTATGCACCGCGGTACATAATCGATTATGCACCGCGCGTTTTTTTTTAAAATGAAAATTAATAGTGTTTATTTCCGCTGTTTCGCACCCTTTTGCAAAAAGTAACTCTGTTATTCAGTGTCATTTTGTATACACTGCAGTTTCAGTTGAACACAACTACAGTTTCATTTCGATATAACTATAGTTTCATTCGATATTGAGGATACTCAAATATGTGAAAATATTATTTAATTTTATTTTATATACACTATAGTTTTATTAAAATACAACTACATGATCATTTTGATATAATTACAGCTTCATTGTACAATATACACTCAAATATGTGAAATGTTATTCAGTTTCAGTTTATATACACTGCAGTTTCATTTCACTATAACTACATTATTATTTTGATATAACTACAGTGTCGGTTTGGATATACTGTAGTGTCAGTTGGTGTTTAATACACCAAACAAACGGACTCCGTTAACTCTAACGGTGTACCGTTTCTTTACTTAAAGAAACGGCGCCGTATATGGGCCGCGGTGCATAATCGATTATGCACCGCGGTCTATAATATAACAACTGCACAACCTAGTCCAAACAAGCATCATTTTTCGACAATCAAGCATTCCTGGCATGAAAAATAGGCAATTTATATCGTGCATCAGGGCGCGCATTGCATTGTGTGTCCTGATGCAAAACGACGTCGTTTCACATAATTGTATAAAAAAATACACATAATTGTATAAACAAATATACATAATTGTATAAACAAACACACATAATTGTATAAAAAAATACACATAATCATGTCAACTCCCTACCGCGCCTCCAAAAACGACGTCGTTTTGGGAGGCGCGGGGCGCATAGTGCAATGTACGCCGTGGTGTAGGGTATAATGATTGTGAAAAATACTACTTAGAACTCTCAAATTTCACACATAATATTTATTTTTTCACTCAAAATTTTTATATAAATACTTTTTGAAACTCATAGAATAAAGATAACTTATCATTAATTGTTACTTCGAGAATAAAAGCAAAAAAGTAAAGATTAAAAGTTCATATAGTAGTAGAACTCTCATGGTATTGTTCAACATTACACGCTAAGTGAGACAACAACAACAAAAAAAGGTCAAAAACCAAGTAACATCAAGTGTTTGTGTACATATATAGTAGGGTTTTAAACGAGCCGAGCTCCAACTCGATAAATAATAGGTAGGCTCGAGCGTGATCAAGCTCAAAAATAGAAGCTCCAGCTCGGCTCGGTTATAAAACAAGCCAGCTCGAGCACGAAGTTGACCGAGTTCGAGCTGAACTTTGACCAAGCGGCTTGCGAGCTGTTCGGCTATATGCTCCGGTAGTTCAAGGGTGAGACAGTGTTGATGAACAAATGAATGTGACTTGCGAGCGAGGTACAACAATTATTGGGAAATAATCGAGTTAGAGCGGTAACTATGAGTGAATGAGTGATACAGATGGTCTAATGAGAGGAATGGAAGTGATTTACACGGGAGCTCTATAAGTGTTCCCGTTGGTGGATCGACTCTGGGATGAACTTTCAATGTGCTCGGAGAACTTGTTGATAATATTAGTATTAGGATTATGTGGGAATTTTGTGAAAGATTCATGTGATCAAGTCTCATTAACGCCGAATTCATGTCGAGTAGACCTTGTTGTTGTGATAATTCTTAATTCATGAGTTGTAGGGAGGGATTTAAAGTTGATTCCTCACTTTTATCTCACATCATGAGATAGGTGTTTCTCCCACCATGACATACGTATGCAGTTATATACAAGGTTGTAAAACTCGGCCGCCTAGGCGCCCGCCTAGGTACTAGGCGGCACCGAGCCTTAGAGTTTTGGCCTAAAGGCGGCCAAAACTCGGCCGGCCGCCTAGGCGGCCAAACTCGGCCGAGTCGACCGATTTCGTCCGATTTTGACCGTTTTTGACCGATTTTGACCGATTTTGTCTGATTTTGACCAATTTTGTTCGATTTTGACCGATGTCGTCTTTCATTAATTATTGATTTTAATATTATTATGACGTTATGACTTATAAATTATCATTATTTCATTTATTTAGATGTGTTATTTGAGTGAATGTTGAAAACAACCTCATTAAAATTGTCAAACTACAAGCTTGTCACTATTTTTTTAAATTTTTTTGGTGCCCGCCTAGCGCCGCCTAGATTCCGCCTAGGCGCTAGGCGCTGCCCGGCCGCCCGACTAGCGCCTACTGCAACCTTGGTTATATATATGACTCACTAGCAGTTCAACGAACCACGAGCCAAAAATATTTGAGCTCAAGCTCGACTTGATTACAAAACGAGCCGGTTTGAGTTCGACTCGAGCTCGAAATTGACCGAACTTGAGTCGAATTTGATCGAACTGCTCACGAGCCACTCGCAAACTGCTCAACTCATTTACACTCCTACTACATAGTTGATGGTTGCCCATAGTATATATCATACGAAGCGCGCTGAATGTTTGTCTTATATAATATATCAAGTGTATTTGTTAGGGTAGGAATCTTTAAGCACACATGAAACATAAATTTAGAACGCACTAACTTTCATGTTTATTGTTTACTATTACTACACCTCTGCATACTATCAATACTATGAGTACTGTAACATTCTCAATAAAATATGACTACTTTCACTACCATACTGTGCATTTATTTTTTTACTGTGCATTTTCATACCTCCATATTTTTCACACAAAGATCCTCATTTAATAATCAACAAATTAATTAGAGACAATTTGTAACCAGCTTGGTTGGCATGAGTGGCTGTACACTCTTGTTTCTTAAGAGAGGTTGGGACACTACTGGAAATTATGAAATTTCCGACCACCTGAAAGTGATCTTAAATCAAGTCGAAAGTCTTGTTCCGACCACTTTTGGTACCCGGAAAAACCTTTGTTGCTATTTTCGACCACTTTTTGGTATCAATTTGATTCAAGATCACTTTCAGGTGGTCGGAAATTTCATAATTTTCAGTAGTGGGAGTTCGAACCCCCTCTTGTATGGAAAAATCAATCTGGCTAGCACTTTGCATCTTAATTGCGCCGACCCGGTGCGAACATGAATTAGTTTGAATATGGTACGTGCTTAAAGATGCCCATACAGTTAGGGTCTACTCAGGACACCTCGTATTCTAATAAAAAATAGAAATTAGAGACAATTTGTAAGTTTACTAATACAATTACAAGATCATATACTAAATCAATATTAATTTCACAATGATGTAAACACCATGTGTTATATGCAAATAAATAAATCCTTATTTTCCTACTAATTTCATTTGCCATTCAAGTACGATTGGTTCTGCTAGATTAGAGGCTTTCAATCTTGCATGCCTTATTGTATTAGATTATGCCACATAAGGTATTCTTTTGTTTTGCTCTTTTAAAAAATAAAATAAAATAAAAATCAACTTTTGCAAGGGTTGCAAGTTGCAACATAGGAAAGTTTGCAACTCAGAAAAGCAGACTTTTTAGTTCTAAAAAAAACAAACAAACTTCAATTTTAATACTATTATGTTATATTTAAGTTAAAATTATATAGATATTAGAGAAAATGTCAAATTATATCATAGACCAAGGTACATCTTGCATCATGGATCTAGGTACATAAAAATAATATTACATGTTTATAAAAAGACACCAATTGATCAACTATCATTTAAATATATTATTCTCTATTTCTTGTTGTATAAATAAAATCAATATTTAAAATAAGCGCATTTATATATTTCAAATGACATATGCGATATATTTTTTCAGTATATTCTTTTCATAAATTAGACTCCGTAATAAATTTCTTGTAGTGAATTTACGTATTTTCAGTTGTGACTTCATGAACCAACGGTAATGTAGTAATTTTTTTTTTTTTCTATTTCTAAAAGGAGGGGGGTACCCACACAACAGGTTGATTTACACTTGCCGCCATACAGGGCAGCCAAACATATCATCCTCTAATACATGCACCAAATTGCCAGTAGGCTGGTCGATTAGTGAGCTACCTACCATCTTGCATTAAGGCTGCTTTCGCTAGATAGTCAACTGCAGTGTTTTGATCTCTTGTTACCAAGGTAAGCTGTCATTCGCCAACATCCTCTAATTCACTCCTGCACTTGAGGATGATATTATCCGTCGTATTGTTGAGGTTGACCTTGAGGTTTATGGCATCAACGATTACTTTAGTATCACTTTCAAATACGAAGCGTCTTCCTCCAGTCTGCTTTGCTAATTGTATTATTATTTGTATACCACGAAGGAGAGCCCATGCTTCCGCTATGGCTGGTGAGCATGCGCCGAGCCTATGCACAAGGCCCTTGATCCAAAACCCTTTGTCATCTCTTGCCAAACCACCGCAGCCTGCCTTCTGTGTTCGCGGGTTGACGCTACCATCTACATTGATCTTCGTCCAACCAAGTGGTGGCTTCAACCATCTCATGGGCCTCCAAATCTGTTGAGCCTCACTGGAAGTAACTCCCTTAGCTTTCGAAAATGCAGTGTTGATATTTGAAATCTGGGAATGAATCCAACGCACTCTGTATGATAGTTGCAACTCATTGGCATTAAAAACCCTTCCATTCCTCCACTTCCACAACCACCAGGTGGTTACAGCGAAGGATACACTCTTCTTGTGCTTTTGGCCATCTCTAGCAAAGCCATTGATTCCCATGTCCAGCCATTCCAGAAAAGGTATATCTTGAGTCATTTGCAACATGTTCGGGAAAATAGCTTCCCAAATTTCCAAAGCCTTAGGGCAATTGCGAAGGATATGCTCTGTGATTTCCATGAGTGATGGGCAAAGACCGCAACTGCCATCAGAGGTTAGATCACGTCTCAGTCTATTCGCATTTGACAAGAGTCTATCATTCCTTGCTAACCATAAAAACATGTGAATCCAGCTGGGTATTTTCAATTTCCAGATGTTTTCCCATGAAGGAGTCGTGATCGCACCGACTGAGCTTAAAATCATATTATAAGCCGACTTAACAGAGAACATCCCTGTGTTCTCAGACTTCCACCCAATTCTGTCATCGAGACCTTCGTCGTTGCAGATAGCTACTGGAGCTAGAAGATCATGAATGTCAGTGGGCAAATACTTATAGATTTCTGCCCACTCCCTCCTGCCTCATCATCTCAATAATCCTTAACTAACGCATAAAGCTCTGGCATTGAAGGTCTAGCTATAGTCATCTCAACAAGAGGGTTGTGACCTATCCAAGAATCGATTAGTGAATATCAACTTGTGTATTCAATGTGTTCTGAAGGGAATTACATGAAGCTATATATACAGGACTAGACCTCTGAAGTAGGAAACTAACATTGACTATACTAAAGACTTTAACTAAACACAGATGTATAACCACTCAATACTCCCCCTCAAGCTGACAGTGGACACATGACAACGCCGAGCTTGATTCTAAGCTCATTGAACCAAGCAAGCGAGAGTGGTTTGGTGAAGATGTCCGCTAATTGATCCCCAGTCGAAACGAAGTTGACTTTGAGAGCACCTGACGAGACCTTGTCGCGAACGAAATGGTAGTCAACCTCCACGTGTTTTATGCGTGCATGGAAGACGGGATTCGAGCACAGGTATGTCGCCGCTAGATTATCGCACCAGAGTACCGGAGTAGTAGGAGGAAGCAACCCAAGTTCTCGCAGTAAAGACTGAACCCCAAGTTACTTTTGCCGCAACGTCGGCAAGGGCTTTGTATTCCGCTTCAGTGGACGACCGCGCAACCGTCCGCTGTTTCCGGGAGACTCAAGATAGCAAATTTGGACCTAAAAAGACTACGTAGCCTCCGGCGGACTTCCTGTCGACAGAACAGCCGGCCCAGTCGGAGTCGGAAAAGGCATGAATCACCGGCGCAGACTGTGGTGTAATACATAGACCAAGGTCCAAGGTGGCCTTTACCTAACGTAGAACACGTTTGAGTGCCGACCAGTGTTCATTCGTGGGATTGTGCATAAACTAGCACGACCTGTTCACTGCAAAAGGACAAATCCGGACGTGTGATCAGGACATACATTAGTGAACCAACAAGCTGGCGGTACGGGGTTGGATCATCAAGGACACCCGAGTCATCGGACGTCTATATGGCGTTGGAAGCCATCGGAGTGGATAGAGGCTTGCAGGGCTCCATTCCTGCCTTGCGTAGGAGCTCCGTCATGTACCGTCGCTGTGACAAAATCATGGCATCTCAGTATAGACGACCTCAATGCCTAAGAAAAACCGAGGCCTACCAAGGTCACGAATCTTGAACACTATGGATAGCTTAGACATGATACTATCAATCATGGATGAATGATTTCCCAACAAAAGGATATCGTCTACATAAACTAGTAGATAAGCACGCATGTCACCGGATTCATAGATAAATAATGAGACGTCTGTCTTTGACAGACGAAACCCATTCTGGACTAGGAAATCGTGCAACCTCTTGAACCACGCTTGAGGCGCTTGTTTGAGGTCGTACAAAGACCTCTGTAGCATGCACACATGTTCAGGATGATTGGAATCAACATATCCCGGTGGTTGCCGCATGTAAATCTTTCATCGACGCCCCCGTTAAGGAAGGCGTTATGTATGTCGAGCTGTCGCATAGACCACCGGTGTGAGACGACAAAGGCTAAAAGAAGCTGAATGGTGGTTGATTTGACCACCGGGCTGTAAGTCTCGGGTAGTCGATGCC